GCAGGGGTTTGGTGGCGGGGCTGCCCCGAGGGAGGGAGCCGGAGAGCCCGGTTGGCTTGGAGAGGCAGCTGGGAAAGAGGTTTTCGGGTGAGTGAGAGTCAGTTTGCTCTGAGCTTTCGGTGTCAACTTAGCCAAGCGCTTTGTTTCTTCCGATTTGTCACCTGCTTTGCCTCCCTCTTCTCGCCTGTTCCCAGTCAGTCCTCCTGCTCGTACTGAGTACCATCGCTTGTGTTTCTATCACACCCAGTGTCAGGAGCTGTGACCTGGGGGCAACCAGTGTGCACATCCCCCGTATCTAATCCTTTGGGGTGTGATCCCATTTGGGGAGGGGATCCCAGGAGCCTGGGGCCTAAACTTCCCTCTCCTTGGACCTGAAGTGGTTCAGTGTCTGTGCTGCTTCTTGGGGGCCAGGGACCTCAGCTGGGAGAGACCCGGGAGCTGGCCCAGCAGGACCGGGCAGTGAAGGCGAGAGGCAGTGCCCTAGGGTCACCCCGAGGGGTCCTCTCTGACCGCCCCCCAACACAGAAACAACGGCCCCTCATCCCCCAGTGGGAGCCCTGCCATGGAAACGCCGTTACCCTGCCTGGAGCCTGCATTGCTGAACCTGTTCCTCCTGTGACGGAAACTGGCTCCGTGCCAGACTGGAGGAAAATCCTCGGGAGTGTCCTTGGCTGCAGACCAGCACTGACGGGCGGGACCAGGACACGTTTACAGAGCAGAGACCCTGGCGGGCGGCTCGGAGCTGTGGGCGCGTTGGCGAAGGTGGGAAATGGGGGGCCCAGCCCCACTCACCAGTGCCCAGCAGAGCAGCCAGGAGGCAGGTGGCCAGAAACACCGTCATGGTGCCGGGAGCAGGCGATCGGCGCTGGAGTCTCTGATGCAGCTTAGCCTCCAGCTGAGGGGCGATCCCAGAGGGGCTGCAAGGAGATCAGATGGGGTCGGCACCACGTGGCCCATGGGGGTGGAGGCCTAGTATCCAAGCACCTGCAGACCCAAGCGCTGTCACTCACCAGCGGCTCTGAAGGAGACGTTTGCCGGGGGTGATGTGGGCCAAGTGGGAAAGCTGAATCCGTCCCTTGCACCTCCTGCTCGGAGCCGGCTGGTGCATGTCGCGCCGTCTGACTTATATAGCCGGGCCAGGGACCCGCGGTGATGCCAGGCAGCAGCTGGTCAAAGGTTCTTGCTTGATCAGGTAACATCTGCAGATATCAGCTCCCCTCCCTGGCCCTGCCCATCCCTCGGCCCGGCACAATCCCAGCCTGTTCCCTCCAGCTGCAGAGAATGGGAAGAGGGAAAGTAGTGAACCCTGCTTCCAGGAGTGTGACAAGGGGTCGCGGGTCACACAAGGGACATGGCGGCCGGGCCCCAGGTTTGGTTTCAGGAGCGTAAGGGCAGGACGCTCGGTCCCCTCCTCACGGTCAGGAGGAGCCGGATCAAGTCAAGGAAACGGCCCCTGATGAAAGGCCTAGAAATCAGGGTGCGCAGGGAACATGCCCTGGCTGGGCTGGTTGAGTTGGGCTGCTCCTGTTTTGGGCAGGGGGCTGGATTCGATTCCTCCTGAGGTCTCTACCCACCCTTGGGTTATATGAGTCTATGAGTTACAACATGGCGCCTCCTGCTGGCTGTTCTGGGAATTACCTCTGGGTTCACCAGTGCGCCCTCCTCTACTGCCTTCCCCCCCAACCTGCCTGCTCCTTGCCCTGCACCAACCTCCTCTGCGCTTGGTTACCTGCCCCCTTCCAGGGGAACCTGTCTCCAGTCCAGCCACTGGCTTTATACCAGCGTTTCGCAAGCAGTGGGACGAGTCCCCTGGGGGTGCTCAAGAGAAGTCGGTGTGGGGCAGGGTAGGTCAACACTGGCATTTGGAGAAAACGGAATGATTGTTTTAAGTGTTGCAGCGCTTTATTGGTTTTGTACTTATTACACTCAAAAACGCCATCGCCCGCCTGGCTATAATGTAGTTGTTTAAACAAACGTGTTGCAATGGTAGTGTCACCTTACCGGAGTTTAAGGGAAGCAGCCAGGTCACTGCTGCGCCCATGGGGTGGGGTGTTCGCCCCAAAAGTTGGCACGAATGGGGCCATGTGAGGTGTCAAAGCAAAGCTTACCTTCTACTGATTCTGTATATGCTCGTCATAGATCTGTATAATGTCTGTGTGTGGAGTTAGGAATACGTACTCTGTGCGGAGACTGGAAGTTTCTCTGTATATGGCTGAGCAATGTGCTTAGCCTATGGACATGCTAATTAGCAAGAGTCCATGGACAAAGGTCTATTAAGTACCAGAGACCCACCTATGAAGGAATCTAGGTGCCTGGTTAGAGATCATGTGACTCTCTCCGGCTTGGAAGAAACCAGAAGAGGGATAAATAGGCCACGTGGCCGACTCCATCTTCGTCTCCAGATCTGTTCCTGAGCCCACATGCGGCCTCACAGGGAATCACAAGCCGGGAAGGAAAGTGGACCCATTCTGACATAGCATGTGCACCGAGGACTTTTAAGCCAGCAGTTATAACATCTCTGCTGTGAGCCTGTATCGAGAACTGGGAGATTCGACGCATGTAACGTATGGTACTTTAACAACCTCACTCTCCTGCTTAAGTGGACCCATCCTGACATAGCATGTGCACCGAGGACTTTTAAGCCAGAACTTGTAACATCTCTGCTGTGAGCCTGCCTCGAGAACTGGGAGATTCGACACATGTAACGTATGGTACTTTAACAACCTCACTCTCCCGCCCAGAGAAGTTTTCAGCATTGCCCTTGTAAAACATGGGATTATTTTAAACAGCTGTTTACTTAAAAATGATAAATTAGGCCAGAAAAGCACAAGAAAATCCAGTGGGGGAAATGATTTCTTATGTTCACCAAAGAGAGGAGGAATCATTAATAGTTATGAGTGAGTGACTCCATTTTTCATTAACGTAACCTAACTAAGCAAAATTGTGGGTGAGTTTCCGATTTTAATGCCTTCCCTTGTCTACATCACTGCTCCTTTGAAGTGCTGTGTGTGACTTATTTGTGGCTTATTTGGGAAAGGTCTCCAGTTGAGGGCTGTACGTCACGCTGGTTTCGAGCAATTCACGGTGAGCAGATGCCCTCAGAGGTGCCCAGACCCGGCAGGAGGGTCTCCAGTCTGGGGGCTATACAGAGCCCCGAATTCGAGCAATTCACGGTGAGCAGATGCCCTCAGAGGTGCCCAGACCCGGCCTGGCCCGTCACAGGTAAAAATAATGTTGTGTGTTGGAAAACTGTGGTTACTGGGGGATACTTATAACTCTTTTTTAAAAAAAGGGGGTGTGACGGACCCCCCTCCCTCATGCTTTATGAAATGGACTTAAGGACATGAATATACAGAACTCAAAAGTGCGTGGAGTGAATTATTCCATGTGACCCATCGATCTTCATGTCATGATCTGCTGGTTCTGTTCATCTGTCTTTGATGTAGGTATCATTTTTGGGGTGTCAAATTAGACACATGGGCTACGTCTACACTGGCATGATTTTCCAGAAATGCTTTTAATGGAAAAGTTTTCCATTAAAAGCATTTTTGGAAAAGGTCATCTAGATTGGCAGGACGCTTTTCCGGAAAAGTACTTTTTCCGGAAAATCGTCCGTGGCCAATCTAGACACACTTTTCTGAAAAAAAGCCCCGATCGTCATTTTTGCGATCGGGGCTTTTTTGTGGAAAACACTACTGTTCTGTCTACACTGGCCCTTTTCTGTTGTGTGTCGGAAAACTGTAGTTACCAGAGGTACTTATAACTCTTTTTTTTAAAGGGGGTGTGATGGACCCCCCTCCCTCATGCTTTATGAAATGGACTTAAGGACAGGAATATACAGAGCTCAAAAGTGTGTGGAGTGAAGTATTTCATGTGACCCATCGATCTTCATGTCATGATCTGCTGGTTCTGTTCATCTGTCTTTGATGTAGGTATCGTTTTTGAGGTGTCAAATTAGACACACGGAGTGGGGAATACTTGGGAGGTTTAAAAGCTGAATGAAAGACACAGAGGGTGTTACCCTCAATTGTGAAACTTTGTCCTTCAGCCTGAGACATGGTTGGTAGGGAGAAGCCTCAATTCTTTAACGAAAAGGATAGGAAAGCAGAGGTCTGGGTCTTTTGGGGGGGCTGCACCTGAAGGAAGGCGCCTGAGACCCAGGGTGGGGATGCAGCCCTGGTTTAGAGGGGCAGCCGGAAAAGAGGTTTGAGGGTGAGCGTTAGGAGTTTGTGCTGAAGTTTCAGGGTTGAATTAACCAAGAATTTTTTCTTTTGATTTGTAACCTGCTTTGCTCTGCCTGTTCTCACTTATCACCACTTCAGTCCTACTGCTTGTACTTAATACAATCATTTCCTCTTACTGTCAAACCCAGTGTACATAATTGTTACCTGGGGGGGGGGGCCAAACACTGTGGAATGCCTTCAGAACTGTATCCGGTCATTTAAAAAAACGTCATATTTTCGTCTGCCTTTGGTTTCTTCTACAATATTTATTTCTACTTGTCTGAATAGTGTTAAAATACTTCATGAAAATAATGGGGCAGGTGGAAAGGGGCAAATGTAACTTTTTATGTATTACTGGTGTCCCTGTAAGAAACAGTAATGCCTTAACTGTATTTTTGAATAATTTTTCAGTGCTTGAATACCTAGTCTATTTTAAACTATGTACGTACTTTCAACCACTGCAAACAAAAAAAAAAAAAAATGAAGTGGTTCAGTGTCTGTGCTGCTTCCTCATGTAACTTGGATTTCAATGCATGGGTTTTAGATGTAGTCTGTAGAAAGTTACTTAAATCGTTTGTGGAGTTTTCAGTCAATTAAGAAGCCTAAAAAACACAAAATTGTTGGTTGATGCCTATCTTTATATACCAGTTCATAGCTTTAGACAGGCATGCCAGAGTTCTACCCTGCATTGAGATCTGCTGGCAAGGACAACTGTAATGATTCTGAAGGAAGACGAGGGCCAGGTCTACTCTAGATCTGGAAGGTTGGCTTAAGAAAGGTATGCAACTACAGCTATGTAAAATAAATCAACTCCAGTTACATATCTTGGACCCCAGAACCCCCCAGGCAACGTATCCCCGTGTTTCATCACCCTGACAGGCAGGACGTTTTTCATAATGTCCAACCCGAACCTCCCTCGCTGCAGTTCAAGCCCGTAGCCTCCTGACAGCCCCTCCCATGAGAATTCCAGCGCGATAAAGCCAATCCCAAATCCCTCGCTCTCTGGCTGGTTTTATTCAGTGCAGCCGCCTCCAGGAGCAGTGACCCCACCCCGGGCACAGAAGTCCCGTGTGAGGGCGGGCAGCTAGTGCCGGACGTAGGGGGACACCGGAGCGCGACGGTGCTTGGCCCGGAGTAGGGGACTCAGGACAGAAGCCACAGGAGGAGGCCACTGAGCACTGGGAGGGTGGGCAGAGTTGAGAGAGGCACGTCTGTTCCACTGGAGGCCGCTGTGCATTTGGCCGCGGTCAGATTCACACTGGATCCCAGAAAGGTTCCCGAACCCACTTGAAACTGGTCACAGGCAGACTCAGAAGCGCAGCCCTTAATGGCGACTTCTAATAGGCTTTCACCTGCATGTGGGGGGAGAGCAGTAACTCAGTCCTCAGTCTGGACTGGGACACCCCAGTCCCACCCTCAACCTTCATTTCCCCATTGGCTCTCCTCCTTCCAGACTGCCTGGCCCACGATGTCTGACACAGGCTCCCGCTGTGTCCATAATCAAGTCACTTGCAGTCCCAAGCTAGAGCCCACCACTGACGCTTGGATTGAATAAGGCTTGGATTGATCCCACCGCTCATCTGCTAAGCAGCAGCTCAGTGCTGGTGTCAGCAGTGGGATCATCAAGCATAGTGGCTGGGTGGTGAGCTAAGACACCAGGATCGCACTGCACAAAACTAGCTTCACATCACTGCTCCTTGCCTCCATTTCCTCATCTTTAAAATGGGAAGGAAAATCCTTGTTTTGCCCCCTTTGGATGACAGTCACTTTAGAAACAAGGGTTATATCTCATGAGGGGTCCTTTGTCACAGGAGGGCACCCCAATCTGGGTCAGTGCTCGGTCCAGGGCCTGGCACAGCAGGAGTCCCAGCACTAAGCCAGCTCCTCCCACGAAGAGTTTACAGATGAAACTACAAACTAACAATGGACGGAGGAGACCTTGAGGCCCAGGGAGGGGACCAGAGGGCAGCACTGGAACAGAACCCAGGAGTCCTGATCTGCAGCCGGTATCTTCCCTCCCCCCAGCATCTCTCTTCTGCCCTTTGCTGACTAGAACAACACAGGAGAAATATATGTAGCTGGTCTCAACAACATCGAGACATTGGGTCTCGGATCCGATACAATTTATGGTCTCCTTGCGGCACGGAGGAGGGGAAGCAGTGAAGCAGACTGGGCAGCGGAGGCCATTGGGTTCGGTGTCAGGCGGGGGCACTGGGAAGAGGGGGGGCAAACACAGTCAGCTCATGGAACGAGCCCCAGAGGGCGTTGGGGCAGGGAGAGCTGCTGGGGGCTGCACTGCTCGACCCCGGATCCCCCTGCAGGGGGCGCTGCAGCTCTGGCGATGCCGGAGGCGGCAGGGGAGAGATTTGCAGCAGGGAGTCCTGGACCGGAGTGAGGTCAGCTGGGTTCACCCCCGGGGGGGACTGCAGCCCCCCCACAAACCTCCACCCACCCAGGCGCTGAGTGTTATTCTATGGAGCGCCCCCTGGGGGGTGGGAGGACCAGGCTCAGGCAGGTAGGGGAGGGTCCAGGCATGGGGGATGCTCAGGCCGGAGGAGGAGTGGCAGAGAGGGGGAGATTTACGTGTGACGTTGACTGTCTTGCAGGCGTCTCCCGTGCAGCAGGCGATGCTCGCCGTTGTCATTCCCGTCCCAAAATTCACAGAGATGGGGCCGGCTGTGCACTGGCTGGGCAACACGCAGCCCTTCAGGATGCCCTGGGACTTTATCGTCCCTGCTCAGGAGGAAAAGCCGGAGATTGATTCCCCTTCCATGCGCACCCCATTAACACCCCACTCGTCTTCACGATGACGGCCCTGGGCTATTAGTTAGTCTCGAACTATGGGGAAACTGAGGCACGGGGCGGGGCACTGACATATAATGCGAGGCTAGACTAAGTGATTTCAGCCCCTGAGCCGGCATTTAGATCCGTCACCCCCCTCTCCCCGACTGAGCTGTGGCTGAATCCTGGGGCCCTGAATCTCCTACCCACCAGGCCCTTCCAATGTGAAATCTCCACCAGTGGCTACATCCTGCAAGGTTAGACTAAGTGATTTCAGCCCCTGAGCCGGCATTTAGATCCGTCACCCCCCTCTCCCCGACTGAGCTGTGGCTGAATCCTGGGGCCCTGAATCTCCTACCCACCAGGCCCTTCCAATGTGAAATCTCCACCAGTGGCTACATGGAGGGGGGCAGGCCAGATGTGCCCCCCACCTGCTGGGGCCTCCTTCGCGAGCGTTTTGTGCCAGACACCCGATTCCAGCGAGAGCCTCCCGGCCGCGGTGCCCAACCAGAGCTCGTACTACAAACCCAACCTCTCAGTGGGGGGCGGGGCTTAGACCACACCCTCCCCCTCGGCATTTCTTATTGGCTGGCCCAGGCGCCTCCCACCCACCTGGCTGGCTTTGGCCCATCCCCAGGGAGCCCCGGCTGGTTCATCACCTGGGCAGCTACAGGGGATGCTCCACCCAGCCAGCCCGCTCCGGCCCCGGGGAGGCGTAGAGCAGAGCCCAGGCGATGTCGGGGGCCTCTGGAGTGAGAAGAGGGCGGGGCTCAGTTTGTGGGGAAACTGAGGCATGGGACAGGTCTGTGACCCATTGCCCTCCCCTACCCCAGAGGAAGGTACGTGACACAAACCCCTCGGAGGCTGGAGGAGCAATTGGCACAAACCTCCTCTGTCCTTTAGCCTGCGCGGGGGTTGGGAGAGCCGTGTCTGTTCCTAAAAACACCTGGAAAGACTCAGGGGCAGGGGTGTGTTGGCTGGGCTGCCCCGAGGGAGGGAGCCGGAGAGCCCGGGCGGCTTGGAGAGGCAGCTGGGAAACAGGTTTTCGGGTGAGTGAGAGTCAGTTTGCTCTGAGCTTTCGGTGTCAACTTAGCCAAGCGCTTTGTTTCTTCCGATTTGTCACCTGCTTTGCCTCCCTCTTCTCGCCTGTTCCCAGTCAGTCCTCCTGCTCGTACTGAGTACCATCGCTTGTGTTTCTATCACACCCAGTGTCAGGAGCTGTGACCTGGGGGCAACCAGTGTGCACATCCCCCGTAGCTAATCCTTTGGGGTGTGATCCCATTTGGGGAGGGGGATCCCAGGAACCTGGGCCCTAAACTTCCCTCTCCTTGGACCTGAAGTGGTTCAGTGTCTGTGCTGCTTCTTGGGGGCCAGGGACCTCAGCTGGGAGAGACCCGGGAGCTGGCCCAGCAGGACCGGGCGGTGAAGAGCCCAGAGAGCGGGAAGGCGAGAGGCAGTGCCCTAGGGTCACCCCGAGGGGTCCTCTCTGACCGCCTCCCAACACAGAAACAACGGCCCCTCATCCCCCAGTGGGTGCCCTGCCATGGAAACGCCGCCTGGAGCCTGCATCACTGAACCTGTTCCTCGTGTGACGGAAACTGGCTCCGTGCCAGAGACTCCAGGAAAATCCCCTCTCGGGAGTGTCCTTGGCCGCAGGCCAGCGCTGACAGGCGGGACCAGGACACGTGTCCAGTGATGTGCAGTGTCAATCGCCTCCTGTTTCCACAGTTGTTCCCCTCGCTGCCAGAGACTGTGGGGCCCCCGGCCCTCCCCCCTCACCCACTGTCACTCGGATGTCCCCTGCCTCTGCTTGGCCACGTTAATGAGCAGAGACCCTGGCGGGCGGCTCGGAGCTGTGGGCGCGTTGGCGAAGGTGGGAAATGGGGGGCCCAGCCCCACTCACCGGTGCCCAGCAGAGCAGCCAGGAGGCAGGGGGCCAGAGACACCGTCATGGTGCCGGGAGCAGGCGATCGGCGCTGGAGTCTCTGATGCAGCCCAGTCTGCAGCTGAGGGGTGATCCCAGAGGGGCTGCAAGGAGATCAGACGGGGTCGGCACCACGTGGCCCATGGGGGTGGAACAGGAGTGAGGCCCAGTCTCCAACGACCCGCAGACCCAAGGGCTGTCACTCACCAGTGGCTCTGAAGGAGACGTTTGCCGGGGGCGATGTCGGCCAAGTGGAGAAGCCGGACCCGTCGCTTGCGCCTCCCACTCGGAGCTGGCTGGGGGGCTGCAAGGAGATCAGACGGGGTCGGCACCACGTGGCCCATGGGGGTGGAACAGGAGTGAGGCCCAGTCTCCAACGACCCGCAGACCCAAGGGCTGTCACTCACCAGTGGCTCTGAAGGAGACGTTTGCCGGGGGCGATGTCGGCCAAGTGGAGAAGCCGGACCCGTCGCTTGCGCCTCCCACTCGGAGCTGGCTGGGGGAGCTCGGCCGGAGCCGGCTGGTGCATGTCGCGCCCTCTGGCTAATATAGCCGGGCCAGGGACCCGCGGGGATGCCAGGCAGCAGCTGTTCAAAGGTTCTTGCTTGATCAGATAACATCTGCCGATATCAGCTCCCCTCCCTGGCCCTGCCCATCCCTCGGCCCGGCACAGTGCCAGCCTGTTCCCTCCAGCTGCTGAGAATGGGAAGAGGGAAACTGGTGGACCCAGCTTCCAGGAGCGTGACGAGGGGTCGCGGGTCACACAAGGGACACGGCGGCCGTGCACCGAGGTTCGGATTCAGGTGCGTAAGGGCAGGACTCTTGGTCCCCTCCTCACAGTCAGGAGGGAGCTGGATCAACTCAAGGAAACAGCCCCTGATGAAAGGCCTAGAAATCAGGGTGCGCGAGGGAAAACTGCAAACATTGCGTCGCTTCAGTCTGGGGAAGAGCAGACGGAGGGGACACAAGAGAGCGGCTTTCAACTCTCCAAAAGGACATCACGGCGAGGAGGGGGGAATATTGTTCTCCTTGGCCTCCGAGGACAGGACAGGAAGCAATGGGCTTAAGCTGCAGCAAGGAAGGTTTAGGTTGGACATTAGGAAAAACTTCCTACCTGTCAGGGTGGTCAAACACTGGAATAAATTGGAAGTGTAGACACTTGCTTGCTTGTTCTTTCTTTCTTTCTTTCTTTCTTTCTTTCTTTCTTTCTTTCTTTCTTTCTTTCTTTCTTTCTTTCTTTCTTTCTTTCTTTCTTCAATAACGCCCAAGATACTAGGTTCTAAAGAACCGGCCCAGAGCCCTTTTGGGGAAGGTCTGAGTGATACAACCTGGGAATGGGGCTCCTCCTTTGGGATGGGCAGAACCTGTTTGGATTCGGTGAGATCGGTTTTCATCACCTCCCACCTGTGGGAGGGGCGGAGCTGGTGCGGGGAGAAGTGAAGGGGAGGATCTGAGGGATTGCTTGCGGGACTCCTAGCTGGCCTGTCTGGGGTAACCAAGTGCTCTCTGTGGCTGGTTTGGTACCTGATACTGGGGACCCCCAGTCTTTGGCTGTTAGTAGCCCTGTCTCTAAGCAATTCACCGTGATTTGACCGTCTCAGTCAGGGCCCCAGAAACCTCCTCCCTTGCACCCCTGTAGGATCTTTCTAAGCCTGATCTTTGGGCATGGAACAGCTTCTGTGTGAATGGAGACTAAAAAGATTAGGGCTGTTCAGCATGGCAAAGAGAGGACTAAGGAATGATGTGACAGATCGCTGGAAAATCACACAACAGGGTGGAGAATGTGACTAGAAAATCAATATTTTCCCCTATGCCAGCATGCCACGACCTGGCCTCTCCCCTTGAAATTGACAGGCAGCAGGTTTCACACAAACAAGAGGATGTACTTTTTTCTGCAATCTGAAGTTAATCTGTGGAACTCCTTGCCACTGGATGTGCAGCTGAGCACAAGATGAAAGGATCCAAAAAAGAGTTAGATCCATTCCTGGGCCACAAATAGCCAAGATGGTTGGGGACAAACCCCCATGTTTTGGGAGTCCCTAAATCTTTCTACCAGAAGCCAGGAGGGGACATCGGGGTGAGTCTGTCCTAAATTAATGTTCGCTGTGCACGGCCCCAAAGTTCTGGTTGGAGACAGGACACGGGACTAGCTGTGGACACTCTTAGGCTGTGTCTAGACTGGCCAGTTTTTCTGGAAAATCAGCCACTTTTTCAGAAAAACTTGCCAGCTGTCTACACTGGCCGCTTGAATTTCCACAAAAGCACTGACTTCCTACTATAAGAAATCAGTGCTTTTTGCAGAAATACTATGCTGCTCCCGTTGGGGCAAAAGTCCCTTTTGCACAAAACTTTTGCGCAAAAGGGCCAGTGTAGACAGCTCAGATTTGTTTTCCGCAAAAAAGCCCCAATTACGAAAATGGCGATTGAGGCTTTTTTGTGCAAAAGCGCGTCTAGATTGGCCACGGACGCTTTTCCTCAAAAAGTGCTTCGAACTAGGTTGGCTAGTGTAGACATACCCTTACATTCTTACCTGGCTTCTTCATGGCCCGACCACAGGAATTAAATCCCCTACTCCCCATTGAAATCAATAAGTCAATCAATCAATAATTCAAAGAGTTTTCTCTCGAGGCTGTTTTATTCAGCACAGCGACATCACAGGACTTGACTCCATCCGGGAGCTGAGGCCCCCTGGTGGGGAGAGCGGGTAAGGCAGGCTGCGGGGTGCATTTCAGCACGGTGTCGCAGTTGGAAGAGGGGAGAGAAGATTCAGGAGGAGGCCGGCGAGGGCTGGCAGGAGGAACCTGGCTGGTCCCTGGGCCAGGCATTTGGCTGTGGTCAGATTTGCACTGATTCCTGCGACGGTCGCTGGACCCACTTTTAACTGGGCGCAGACAGACTCAGAAGCGCAACCCTTCAGGATGGACTGCGTCAGATTTCCCACTGCTTGTTGGGGAGAAAGCAGGCAAAGGTCAGGGCAGCAGCTCCACTCCTTACCCTAGACCAGAACAGAATACCCCCCATCTGACTCAGCACCCCATCGAACTCCCCACAGCCTCCCTCTACCCCGATCCAGAGCCCACCAGCAACACCTTGATTGGATGTGGCCTGTATTAGCCTCACTGCTCATCTACAAACCAACAGCTCAATGCTGGTGGCAGTAGTGGGATTTCTAAGCAGGCTGGCTAGGTCCCAAGGCACCATCATGGGCCTCTGCAAAACTAGAGTCCATTCCTATCACACAGACCTGCTGTGTGACCTTGGACAAGTCATGGCACTACTCTGTGCCTCAGTTTACCTATCTTTTACATGGAAAGAACGACCCTTCTTTTCCCTGTTTAGATTGCAGGCTCTTAGCAGGCCAGGATGGGCTCTCACTAGGAATCCTTCAGCATCTGGCAGAAGAGGGGTTGAAAAGAAAAGAAAAAGAGAACCAGAAGCGCAGGGTGGGCCCCAGAAGAAATGAACTGAAGTTACCCGTCAGTATGGTCCCAGCAGCATTAATACATCGGGTCTCGGCTCCGCTACAGTAGATGATCTGCTCGGTGCAGTGATCAGTGTTGCTCACAAAGCATCCGCGGCAGCGCCGGCCATTGGGTTTGGCGTCAAACGGGGGCAGTAGGAGGGGAGGGGAGAAT